TGAGTTTCAGGAAAAAACCGTTAATTTGTATTATGTTTTTTGTAACTAAAACTTTTACCGGAGATAATGAACTCGGTTTTTTATGTATTTAATTTGATATAGAGGTTTTGACATTGCTTTTGAACTTTATTAATCAACTTTTGTAGCCCAGAAAGAGTAGGACTTTGCAGGATTATATCATCTGCATAAGCAATAATACCAGTGTATAAACACATAACTGTTGTTCCAACTTTACAATCGGAAACAATTTGACTAAATATACTTTTAGTGTAAATGTTGTATAAGTGTGGCAATAAAATGAATCCTTGTCGCACACCTTGAGACAAGCGGATATTATTTGATTTATGTCCAAGGTATGATATATTAGCTGTACCCGAGCGGTATAGTGATTGTAGTGCGCGAACTACTGATAGCAGTATGTTTTTGTTGTAATAAAGTTTCTCAAACAGTAAATTCCAATTACAGCCATCGAAAGCTTTATTTGCGTCTAAACTACAGATATATGCTGGCGAGTTATTATTATTATAATGTTTTAATGACTCACTTAATAGGAACTCATCATGCAAGGTGGAGCTATTTTGCTTGAAACCAAAGCGTGCCAACTCGACTAAAAATCCATATATTTATGTGTAATTGGCCTTAAATTGAATTATGGGATGTCTTGCGGGACCATATTATAAACAACATAAATTTACATCTGCTAAATATATTATATACTATAATATTAGATTTCGCTTTTCAAGAATTAAGTTGCTTTTTCTATAAATACTCACAATACTAAATATGCAAGCCTTTTGCTCATCCATCAGTTGTGTAAGTAAGCGTGGAAAGAATGTTGGAAATAATATATCTTTTTTTAGATTTCCAAAGGATAAAAATAGGTAAGTAATAATTAGTCAAATCAAATTTATGACTAGTATTATTTATCATTACTAGTATATCAAGAATTTAAAGAAGCTTTTAAAACATTGCTTTACTTTAAATTTTATGAAACAAAAAATATTTATACCTAATATGATGTAAATAATTCCCCTAAATTAATTAGGTTTAACCTATTATTTAGATGGAACGCTTGGGTTCGTAATTGTCGTCGTCAAGATCTCGATACAAAATCATGTGAAGAACTTAATCTTAAATATAATACTTGTAGTGAACATTTTGATTCTTTCCAATACTATTTTGCCAATAATGGTAGTAAAAGAGCACTTGTAACTGCTATACCAACAATTTTTCCAAATCAACCTTCTACCTTTAATTTAAAGAGAAAAAAGCCTACAAACAGACTTCATTTACAAAATAAAATACAAAAAAAAAATCAATGATAAAGTTGAATTAAATTAAACAAATAGTTTTGAGAATAGCAGTACAAATAATTTAACTGTCAAAACTACTTTTAAAAATAAATATTTATCATCTCAAGTTAAGATTTGTCAACAAGAGCTCTCGAGTGTTTAGGATTTTCATTATTAAAACAACAAATTTCACATCCAACTACTGGAGCAAAAGTTTATATAATATTTGATCCACCACATCTTATAAAAATGTTAGAAACAATTTAATAGAACATGATATTTTATCTGATGATAAAATAATATCGTGGAAGCATCTGGAAGAACTTTATAATTTAGACAAGGTTAATGCTGTGCAACTTGTCCTAAAGTTGACAGATCGTCATTTAGATCCAGGATCACTATTAGCCATGCAAGTAAAATTGGCAACACAAATTTTTAGTAGTCAAAATTGCTAATGCTTTGACTGAATACGCTTCTCCAAAACTATTGCCTGAAAATGTTTTGTCAACAGCCTTTTTTATTATAAATATGAATATTTTATTTGGCATCTTAAATTCTCGTAAACTAAAAGCAGATAAATCAACACGCTCTGCTTTAACTCTAAATAGTAGTTTTATACAAAAGGTTGAGGATTTAAGAGTTTCGATTAAGATTTGGTATTTTACTGGTGCTCGCAGCCAAAAAAGTATATCCAGTCATTGGGGTTTAGATGTCACTATTTCTAATATTCTTTGTCTTGCAAACAAGTTGCTTCATAAAGATTTTTTTTTATGTTTGCAGAGCTCAATTTAATCAAGACTGTTTAGAATTTTTTTTGCATTAATACAAAGAAAAGGAGGCTGGAATGACAGACCAGCAGCAATGCAGTTTAAATCAGCATTATCTAAATCAAAATTATTTAAAAAGAAACAAAAACCTTACGCATTACAAAATGTTTCAACTGATTCAGTTTCACAGTCAATTAAACAGGTTTTGAAATTAATTGCAGATGATTTGATAAAGAAAGTTCTTTATCAAATCATAAAAGAACTTTCTTTTATGATTTGATAAAGAAATGTGTACAAGTTCTTTCAAGTGTGACACACTGTGAAAGTAACTTATTTATGATTCTTTTTTACTAAACCTACTTTACGAAATAGAAACTGTTTTTATAATGCAAATGAAACTTATATTAACAAAAAAAATATTATATAGCAAATTATTAAGATAATAAAAAACGATTGCAATTTTACATTTCTTTATGATGAATTGATCATGCTTTTCATTTAGAAGAAAGTTTAATCAGACACTATGTTTGTATGAAAATATCAAAACATGTAAAAACAAGTTAGCTCGCATTATCCATGCTTGATTTTATTTTAATGATAATTCTTGAAACAATATTTATTATTGTTGTTTTTTCTCTAAGTATTATATATATAGCATCTAATTATGGGGTATATATTTAAACTAATATGGAGTATATATTTAAACTAATATGAAACAAATACATTGATAACATGATTAAAATAATTTAGGCAAAACATGTTAAGTTTACATCAAATTTACACCTGCGTCAACATATTAATGATAGATGATATATAAATGTTATATAAGCAATATTATAAAATAGTTTTATAATTATTTTAATTTATAAAAGAAAAGTTTTTTTATGGAAAGCCCTCTGGTAAGAATAATGCAAATGTATAAATATTTCACTAAGAGTTGCGTTGGTTATGATTACTTGGTCCCGCAAGACATCCCACAATGCTTTGCGGCTAAAGTTACATATATTTATAGGGAGTTGGCAGGCATTGCTAGAAACCAAATTAACCAAATGAGAGTGGCTGTCTGATATTTCCGGACATACTTGTATGATAATTCAAAGAGTTTTGTCAAGATAGGAGTAATACTTGTACCGCGATAGTTATCTGAATTGTTAAAAGATTTTTTATAGGATTTTACTATTGGAATAATTATGGAAGTTGAATAAAACTCCGGCACAGCTACATTATTAAAGATACTGTTATAAAACTTTGAAAGTCATATAATGAGGTTGTTGTTAGAAGAGTATTAAAAAATGTTCTGCAGTAATTCCACAAGTCATGTGATCTATTAGACTTTAGCTTACAAATACAAGATTCAATGTTGGAAGTTCATAAGAGTATTTTATTAGGTTCAACTATAAGTTGGGGGATATTGCGGTATTCGGAATTGTTGTTAGTTATACACGATTTTCGAAAGTTGTAACAAAAAAATTTAGAGTAAACAAACATTAAAAATGGTACATTTTATGAAGGAGTCAGGTTATTTTTTGCATAGAAGATGGTTTTTTTACAATTTTTAAGTTAAAACTTATCATTATTGCTTTAATTTTAATAAGTAGTGATTGGTGAAATTGCATATCATTGTGTCGTAAAAAGTTGCTCAAACAGAAGTCCCACATTACATATTTCCATTTCATAAGTAAAACTTATGAAATGGATATATCCCACATTACATATTTCCATTTCATAAGTAAAACTTATGAAATGGAAATATGTAATGTGGGATATGAAATGAAGGAGGATAAAATGAAATGGAAATATGAAATGCGGGAGCGTTGAGAAACGTATTAAAGTTTTGTCGAAATTCTTATAATCACCTTCTTGTTTCTTATTTATCATAAAAATGTGAGTGTTTGGACTAGATTTAATTTTTCAGATATAGTTCCAAAACCTTTGAGGATTAGTTTTTCGAAGATATTAAATGTTTTTGGTTATGATTTTTGGGTTATAAGGCTTTTACTGTTGAACGAAAATTTAATACGAGCTAGCTTGTATTTGTTAAATAAAACGGATTCCTGCGACGTTGATTACATTTTTTCCATTCCAAGTGGAAAGAGAGAATTTCTTTGCATAATTTAACTTCTGGTGTCCACCATGATATAAATACAAAATTCTCCTTTTCGAAAACCAAGTTTTATTTGTTTTTTAATGTTTTTAAATATTTATGCGTTAGGAATAATATTTAAAAAGATAATGCGTACGCACGCAGGGATTTAGAAAGCGTACAGGTTAGTACAGAGGGGGAAAGGGGGTCCTAAATCATAAATCACACTAATTGGTCATATTTTAAAAATTCGGAAAATTGTTTGAATAAGATATCCGGAAAAAAATCTTTTTCCGGATATCTTTTTTCTTTTCGCCAAGTTAATTTTAATTCTATTTTTAGACACTTTTCATAATTTTTCATGAGTGATAAAGCTTAAAACGAAATATATTACAAAAATATATACCTCAACCTGCATTTATTGAAAATGTTTTTATATCCAGAAAAACTTCAAGTTGAAAAAATACCCGGAATTCCGGAAATATCCGAAAAAAGAGAATCTGTTTATTGGGTACATACATTATGGATATTTCGCGACTTCAAAGTATGTTAGCATAATTATCTCCAGTTTTAAAATTTTGCTACCGAAATCCACCCAGTGATAGTTTTCATAAAAAAAATTTATTCTTAGAGTGTTAATTCATCCAAGGCATTTGACACCATTATATTTGAAAAAAATTTGATAATATAAATCTACTTAGTCTTAAGGAGAAAAAAGGTCAAATCTTTTTTTAATTTTGTTGTTTTTATTAGATATAGTTTTAGGTTTATAGAGTTTATTAAGATATCTGGAGACAGTGCTGCATTTTAATAGAAAAAGGTTTAAAAGCCGCGACATTCATAAAGCTAAAGAAAATGTGAATTAGATTTTTTTTTTAAACAGATTAACTAAGCACCCCAATCTTCTATTTTAGGAGTTGCCCAATCAGCAGAAGCAGCATTTGTATCAGCTTCCCATCCAGGCTCATTACCCCATTCTTTTGGTACACTTGGCTCAGCTGTCCACTGCAAAAAATAAAATAAAAATTAAAAAAAGCCATCTACAAGTAACTACTCAAACTTTACTATGTGAAAAAAAAATCAACTTACATCAGCACCAGAAATAACTGGTTGGTCACCCCAATCAGCACCAGCAGCAGAGTGATCAATATTTCCAGAATAATCAGTCTGGTATGGTTCATCAGGCTTAGCAGAGGCGATTGCTGCAGCTTGTTCTTCCTTTTCTATGTCTTCAGGGTCACGATAAAAGAATAAATCAGGCATAGTATCCCATTCTGCTTTACGACTGATCACCCCACGAAGTCGCAAAACCTAACAACAATTTAGTATTTTTTTAAAGCTCAATCCTGTAAAATGCTAAACAAAATGAAAACTTTCCAATACCTAAATAATAAACAACTGACGACTAAGTAAACAAACAGTAAATAAACTGTTTACACTCGAATGTTTGATTCAAATAAAACTTTTTTTATTTACAAATTTATCATTTATGGTCATAAAACTGATTTAATAACTTAACTGCTATTTAAAACCTTTCTTTCTCTATCATAAATACCTATCATAAATATGTATTTGTGAGTCCTGAATTTTCTAATATTTAAATATCAATGTTAATTTACATGCATTTAAACTTCTACTAAATTTTGGGTTCAATTAAAATCTGGACATTCCACTTTAATTAAAATTAATTAATGAAATCATTTTTATGTATAACACCTCGATTAAGTGTTCTTTGAAAAAAAAAATCAATAGTAAGTTATTAAAAATGATAACACTATTTAAGTATAATAACACAGTTAGAGACAAAGGTTATTTCTCTTATAAGTTTATTTTGTTTTGAGTAACTTTTTTTTTGCTAACAAATTGAAATTAATTCACCCAATGAAAACAAATTATGCGGCTTTCAATAAACTTTGAAGATTAGATTTTACCATATATCAACCCTTCCACTATTATTAAGTAATTCAATGCATATATATAAATTTGGTTTTAATCTGAAACATTTATTTTAATTCCAAGAAATTAAACCAAGAAAATAAATTTTATCAAAAAAAAGATAAAAGTAATCTTTAAAACCTTAAAAACCACACAGCTTTTTAATGAAAAACTTTTTTATGTCTATTGTTACTTCATAAGCAGCCTCTGAAATCTTCAACATTATTATTATGTTTTAAATTCAGAAATAATCACAAGTTAAACAGATAGACAGTTATTCTATATTAAAATGTTAGAAGGATTACTTATCCTCATTTCTCTTTTGCCTCTACTTAATAGTGATACCTTTAGAGATAATTTAGAGAAAAGAAAAGTTTTATTTTAGAGTGAAAAGGAATATATAAAGTATTTATAATTATTAGAAAGCCTTACATCGTCTATAATATAGGTAGCTTCTGCCGTAACCCTAGCTCAGCCCAGGCTATGATTTAAAGTTACACATCTAGTGCAATGTTAGATGAACACTGATCTCATTAATAAAATAGCACAATTTTGTTAACATGATGGATTTTAGAGCAATTTAGTTAAAATAATCTGTTTCAAAAACCCTATTAGTATTTATTTGTTTGGTTAGACACTAAATTATTTAAGTTAAAAAAAATTTCATTAACATAATTTGTTTGCTTAACATGTAATTATATAAAAATAACATTAAAAGTTAAAAAAATTATTATAATCAAAAACTTACTTCTCTTGCTAACATCCACCACATTGTACCGATAGATTGAATACCTCTATTATTACAAGGGATGGCACAATCAACAAACCTTAAGGGTGAATCAGTGTTGCACAAAGCAATAATAGGAATGTTTACATAAGAAGCTTCAGTTAAAGCTTGATTATCGTGCTGAGGATCAGTAGAAATTAATAAACGAGGTTCACGAAATGCTTTTTGGATTTGATTTGTGAATGTTCCTGGAGTAAATCGACCAGCTACTGCAATAGCGCCTGTGTTTTGTGCAAATTTTAAAACAGCACGCTATAAATATACAAAAGTCTTAAAAGAAAATAAAAGAAAATAAAAGAAAATAAAAGAAAAGCTCTTACTGTTCCATACGGACGAGATGATATAACACAGACATCCCCAGGATGTTCTATACTTGCAATAATTCGTGCAGCTAGAATAAGCTTTTCCCAAGTTTTCCTCAAGTTAATAATGTGAATTCCATCACTTTTTCTTTTGAAAACGTAGCCTTGGCATGATGAAGCTACATTAGTGGAACCTAAGTGCACACCAGCAGCTAAAAATTTGACAACATCTTCTTGTTTAAGAGAAAGAGCATCAATTCCCTCAGACATTATGATGAGTTTATCCTCAAAAGGTAACGATGGACAACCTTAAAAATATTAAAACAAATATAGCAGCAGTTAATGCTCAAGCTTGATCAAATAATACTTTTATACAACTTATTATTATTATCATGACTTCATAAGCAGCCTCTGAATGCTTCAACATTTGCTTTCAGACAAATTCCAGAAATAATCATAAGTTCATGAATAAAACGTTTCAGTAAAAAACATAAAACAAAAAGTCAGTAATATTTTTGTTACAATAAAATTTTGCTAAAATTCTTTTAAATGATAAAAGAAAATTGTTTTTAACATAAGGAAAATACATATAAATTTTTATTAAGAAATATAACTTAGGTAGAAATTATTATTATTTGGAGCTCATCAGCATAATAAAAAAACGAAAACTACAAGAAATTTATTTAATGTCTACTGTTACTTCATAAGCAGCCTCTGAAATCTTCAACATTATTGTTATGTTTTAAGTTCAGAAATAATCATAAGTTAAACAGATAGACAGCATGGTATATTGCTTATATTAAGTTATTTTATATTCAGGGAGAATTATTATTAAGAGAGGTAACATACATCTTAACTGTAATAGTGATAGTTTAAGAACACGTTCGTTTAAACCCTAACATTAGAAACTAAAAACTTAAACATATTTGTGCTTTAGGTTCAGAAGTAATCACGTAAGGACGTAAACCTTGTTATGTTGCTATTTTTATTAACGTAGAGGAAAATCAGATATAGATACAAATTGATATGATTTTCTTTTATTATGCAATTAACTATAATGGAAAAAATAAAAATTTGAACGCACTGACTCACTATATCTGAACGCCAAGAGGTTTGAAAAGAGCTACCATATTAGCACGTGTATTTTATAACCGCGCAATGATTTGTGGGAGATTTCGTCAATTTCGTCAAAAACTGGGGGCGTGGGCCACCAAGTTAATTTAAGTGGAGTTTATTTAAATTGTATAAGTGTGTTAATATATAAGTGTGTAAATATATAAGTGTGTTAATAATAGTTAAGTGTGTAAATATATAAGTGTGTTAATAATAGCGGGAGCGTTAGCCCACAGGTTTATATAATAGGTTGGTTTGTGTACTGTGGTAGTTTATTCCATCCGCCTGATTTATTCCATCCCACTGCGTATTAATCACATTTATTTGATTCGTGCGACTGAAAAATTTGTAAGCAACTATTAAATAACCATTACCTTAACAACAATAAATATGGTTACAAAAAAAAAAAGTTGTAAAATTAGTTTTAATTTGATGTTTTACACATTGGGATGGAATAATCTGCAACTTTAGTAGATTATTCCATCTGCATAAAAAACGGAACTATTTATCTAATTTTTTAAATATGTTCGGACTTAAAGGAAATATTTCTAACTGCAATAAGTTAAAAACGCATTCTCGTTTTGAGTTTTGCCCAATGGGATGGAATAAATCAGGCGGATGGAATAAACTACCACAGTACTCTTAGAAAAAAACGTGCGCCGAATAAAAGCCAAGAGAGTTTTTGCAATTCAGGTACATTTTTCTATAAGTTTAACTTTAAACTTATACAAAATGTACATGAGTTGCAAAAATGGTTTCTTGATAACTTTCTCTATTCTTGAACAAACAGGTCAAAGAAAATAGTGCTAAAAAATAGAAAACGTTTACGAATTTTCTCAAGCTTTGTCACTTGTTTTTTTGTGGTAATTTTTTTTTGTCAATTTAATTTATTTCATTTTACGTAATGTACTTTAAATAAAAAAGCCCATATACTTTTATATGCATATACAGAGTTAAGAAATAATTAAAAGTTAAAAATATAATTTTTTAAATCTAAGAACCAAAATATACAGGATTTGATAACAATGAAAACGCTTCCTGATTAGCGTGGTTCCTTCAAAAAAAAGTTGATTGGCCTGTAACTTTCAAAAGACATTTTTGATTTGCTTGGTTTCTTAAGTATACTGAAAAATATAAAAATTTGAAATTTTTATTAGCATATTTTAATTTAAATATTTAAGTTTCCATACTTCGTTGAAAAAAATATATAGATTTTTTTGGAAACAAATAAACAAAGAACCATTCATAAAGTACGTACGCAGTAAAATTTCTGATTTAAGACCCACTCCTCCTTCCCCCTTGTACAAACCTGAACGCCTTAACCCACCCACCCCTCCCTTCGCGTGCATACGCATTTTCTTTTTCAAAATGAAGCCCCCCTTCCCCTTTTCCCCAAAACACAAATATTTTAAAACATTTAAAACAAAAAAAAAATTAGTTTATTAGATATTTCTCTGTATTGAATAATTTATTGTATAATGTGTATTATACTGTATTGTATAATAAACATTATATTCTGTATAATGGTGTTTTTTTAATATAAGAACTTATTTTTATTCAAAAATAAATACTTCATTTTAGAAAGATGTTTTTTTTTTTTTTTTGGGTGCCGCAAGAAAAAAAAAACTTATTTGTAAATAAAAAACTATTTGTATCATAAAAAATCTTCGAATGCTTCACCATTATTTGCAATAGATATCATTTTTGCTTTAACACCTTTTATAAGCAACTGTAAAAAATTCAAACCATTTATTTTTAGTATTAATTTGATAAGATTAATCAATACGTTTTCTGTTTGAAGCTTGCCAAACTCCATTGTAAACCACCAAAAGTACGTAATTTGTTGTTCTTGAGGCGCATTTAATGGGTTGTATTCTTTATTGACATAATTGAGATGTTTGTTAATTCAATTTAAAAAACCTTTATAATAATCAGAACTTAAGCAGTCGTGGCCAGCTCTCGACATTGGTCCGGAAGGAGGCGTGAACTTCCTGTTAAATGCTTTCCTCACGGTCGTTTAGATATTAGTAAAAAGCGCTATGTTTAGGTACGCATGCGTAAGAAAATACAAAAAACTTTTGAACTTTTAAAATGGCTACGTTTCTTAACTACAGAGAATATTTTATATGGCAACAGATTATTTGTTAATTAATTTCTGAAAAGCCAATTATGTAGCTTTATTTTTAACGTAAATCAATAAAATAATTCAAAAATTTCACAAAAATATAAATAAATAGATGTGACAAAAATTTTTGCGCGCTTAAATTTTATTTTTATTTAACACCTTTTTAGTGTAAATCATAGATTTGTTTATTTATTTGAAATCAATTTTCTGAAAATCTGACTGTAGGATTTCAATAATTTTTTTTAAACTTTAGAAAGATATGTTCTATATGTATGATATTTTTCTGGTCATTGCTTCAACTTTTTTTCCATATAAAAATGTATCAATGTGCAATTTCATTATTCATTCAATTTCCATATATCAATGTGCAATTTTATTATTCAATTTCCATATATCGATGTGCAATTTCATTATTTTGTTAGTTACTATTTTTCTGACTATATATATATATATATATATATATATATATATATATATATATATATATATATATATATATATATATATATATATATATATATATATATATATATATATATATATATATATATATATATATATATATATATATATATATATAGTATATATACATATACACAGGGCCATATTAAGGCGGGGGCGAATGGGGCTGCAGCCCCAGGCCCTTATAAAAAAAATAGGCCCTAAGGCCCGTGACTTTTTTTTTTTTTTTTTTAGGGAACCAGATAAATATTCCTATGTTTCTCAGTTTTTTTAAATCAATTTATTGGGAGCTGCGGAGGCGTTGTGAATAAATAAATGAATAGAGATATAGTTTCAATTTTAGTTATAAATGAAATTTTTTTTATAATGAATTTCTTTATAATGAATTCATTATAAAGAATTCATTATAAAGAATTCATTATAAGAATTTATATGAATTCATTATAAGGAATTTATAAGGAATTTTTTATAATGAATTTTCTATAATGAAATTTTTACATTTATAAAAAAATATTTACATGATAAAACAACAATACAACCTTAAAAATTTTGATGAAATATTGTTTATTTTTATTTTTTTAATTTTTTCATTTAAATACCAGTATTATTGGTATTTTCTTCCTTTATTGGAGGTGAACACATTATCAATTTGATACACGTACTCCACTGTCTCAATAGTAAATATACCTACAGCTCAGCAGTTGCTTTCTTAAGTCATGATTCAAGACCTTTGTCAGTTTACATATATATGGGTGTCTGGGCCAAAGGGGTGTAGCTGTACCTAACCAGTTGATAAAAAATTATAAAAAAAATGCTCTAAAACATACCTAGATTGTGTCCTTTTATTACATAAAAAAAAATTTCTAGGGGGCAGCTTCCCCCCTGACCCTCCTACTTGGGGGTCTGGGGGCCCCCCAAATTTTTTTGCATTCTCTCACGCATGCGTACCTAAACATAGTGCTTGTAAACGACCGTGTCCCGCGGTGCTCTATGGGTGAATTTCCACTCATCCGTTTTTTCACGGGAACGGGAAAGGGAAAGGATAGGAAAGGGAATAATAATCACGTGAGATGCGTAGTTTTACTTCGGACAAATTAAAACTTATAATACGCATGTCCACGTGATATTTCCCGTTCCCGTGAAAAAATGGATGAGTGGAAACTCACCTTAAGACCGTAAGGACTTCTGGGACCACCTAAATACAAGTAAAAAAAAAAAAAAGAACATGTTAAATCTGGCCAAAATAAATAATAAATTCTTTAAAAACTACCTGCGCCTCACAATCTACATCTTTAGCATCTATCAAAAAATATTCAATATATGCCCCAGATTTTAATGTACGCTTTTATTATTATACCAAAAGAAAAAGATTTTTTTGTACCTTTTTACATTTTTAATGCAAATATTTTCGAAACAAAACCTAGCTCTTTTGAACTAAATACGTACGTACGTGTGGTTTTGGTTTTTGACGAGAGTCTTTACCTTTTTGACGTACGTATGGTTTTGGCTCTTAACGAGAATTATTACCTTTTGTTAATAATAAACCAAGTTTAAGAAAGGTTTATGAAAAAGATAGTCAAATTTTTGCTGTCTTTGTTCTCACACCTCTTTGCTACCTTTCACATTCTCTCCATTTGTACCTTTTTATTGACTAAAAAAATATATATAATTTTTTTTCCGAATTATTCGCTTAAGGGATACTCAGCGTAGTTAAGGAGAGATCCAAACGATTTGGATTTCTTAAAAATATTTCAAAAAAATCAGTTTTCCTTCATAGCTATTTACTTCCATAATCTCTTTATAGTTGTTTGAATAAATTACTAAACAGGAACATTTCAGTTTTTATGTAACTTCTGCCCCATAGTATTAAGCTAAAACTTCAAACTCGTAGATAATAAAACAACCGAATATTTGTAAGCAATATAAAACGAGCTTCGCAATTTTTTTTGTTTTTAAATAAACCAATCGTAACGCACACAAAATAAAACGGGATTTTTTGAAAACGAAAAGGCCTAAACGCATTATTTTTCTTCGAATCTCTCCTTAACTACGTTGAGTAGTATAAATTCCTTTAGATCAGACACTTTAAAATTTCCATATTCTTTATCAAAACTAAGTTGCAGTGCAGGTGTATACAATCAAGTTAATCATTTTACACTTTTGGCTGACATCCCTCTTGATAATTTTTATAATCATAAAAATAAATCAAGTAAGCACCTGATTTACTTATATGATTATAAATTTTTTTTTCTACTTTTTAACTCTAAAAACAAATTTTACTATAAACAAATGAAAACAATTACATTAAGTCGTTAAATACAAATTATGCTTTAACTTTAGTTTATCTAAGTCGTGCTGAATAGGAATACGTGAAAAGCGATGAAAATTGCACTAGGAAAGTACAAAATAAAAGGAATAAAAACAACAACACAAGAATTTACAAATGCAACAAATTCAAACGAACAGATACATCAGTACGTTTAAAAATCTAATGAATAATCTAATGGTAAAGTACTTATTAAACTAAAACAAGAAAAAAAAAAAAAAAAAGCGCAGAAAGCACGAACTTGAAGTAAACTTTCGCAAAAACTCAAAACTTTCGCGTTATTTAACAGTTGGGAAATAAGGGAAAGAAATCAAGGGAATTAAGGAATTTTCATGAATAAAAATATGATTATTTTATAATATAATAATATAGTCAGACTTTTATTAGTGAAACTTCCTAATATATTTCTTTCTAGAATAGAAAAAAATAGAGAGAAATAAAACAAACATTTAAGCATTTAAGTTTTTCTTTTTTCTTTTCGTTTTTAAGCAATTAATTTACAAAAAATTGCAAATAAATAATTTTGAAATTTATATGTACATTTAAAAATTTGAAATATAAAAATAGGTCAAATATGTATAAAATCTGTATAAAATGGCGAATATGTACAAAATATGAAATATTTTTTAAAAAATTTGTCTAAAATTAATTTGTAATGTGAAATATAAAAATCTAGAAAAATAATTTAAATAAATTAAAATTGAAATTTTAAAATCGTCTATATAGTAATGAAGTAAATCAATTGTTTTTTTCTTTCATTCTTTACACAACACGTTACTTAAACAATCGTTACATGTAGCGACTAGTTTAAGTGTTTTTAGCCAGTAAAAACATTACGTGTGATGTAAAGAAAACGTTAAGTTATAAAACTTGAATAACATAAAATAAAATAACTTTTTACATACTTTATACATTTTACAACAATTTAAATATTCAATAAAACTATAACACACAGCAAATACAAAAGACAAACCCTTTTAAAAAAGACCCGAGAACGCATAAAAGTTAAGTAAGACATTGGGTTCCAGTATATTTCAGTCCCGAACTCTTTAATACGTTATAAAGTTTTTTTGGTGTGCAGTTCTCAGGATTTTTTTCTCTCCATGTAAGGAGCATTTGAAAGGCCTTTTCTTTTTCTCCGCAGTGTCTAAAGTTTAAATCAATTTCCTGCAACAAATTTTCACTTATATTTAATTTCCTTCCTAAAGATCTCCACCATTTTGAAACTTCACCGGCAACATCATCTAACTTTGATTCACTGAATTTTTCTGAAGAAATATCACTTTCAAAACGCCGTTTTCTTGATTCTTTTTTTTCAAAAGTTTCTTTAATTTCAGAATTCGAGTTTTTCAGCACTAAAAAACGAAACCTTAGTCAATAAAAATATTAATATTTTAGTGGTATGAAATTAATAAAAACAGTAATATAGACAACAATATCTATCTCATATAAAATGATACTACAAATATTTTTAATACCTTAATCACCTGTTTTCTTTTAGTTAAATTCTACTATTAACTTGTTTTTTAATCATTAACATACTTTTTGTCCTTCACTTTTATTTTATCATATTTTAAATAGGATGCTCGAATTTAAATATTTTGTCGACTAGGCTTCTACTACAAATTAGGAATAATTTACATTCAAATTAAGGTATAAACACCCAAGTAACTATTCCAAAATTAAACTTTATAAAATAACTTATAAAAATAAACTTTAGTGGATTAGAAAAGTTTTCATAATGCCGTTTTCCTACTTAATATGACATCATAGAAGGGTTAAAGCAAGTTTTTACAACTGGATGCCCATCATAGCGTTAAACTATTTTTCTGATCAGTACATGTTTTTTGTACATTGATCAAATTATTTGCGATACACACAAAAGAGGAAATTCTGATCAATGGAAAAACAAGATAGCGAGCAAATATTTAAAGAAAAATTTATTTGACCATCGAAAATCTCATTTTTAACTATTTTAAAAACTTGTATGAAATAGAAATATTATTATTGTGTTTAAAAGATAAGTTAAATATATTAAGAATTACTAAATGTAACATGATGTTATAAATATGAGTTGAACATTTAACGATATGAGTTAAACATAAGTGACCTAATCTGGAAAAAGGGGCCTTAAATGGGAAAAGCTGTTTTGAGATACAGCGTGTTTTAGTCATAACCCACAAAAGGTTCCTTTTCTGTTCACTGTAGAATAACGTTGCTAGATTTATTAGGTTATGTATTCATGCGCTATTATGATCCAAATCTCAAGGATCAGTGACAAATTCTCAGTGACAAAATAAAGTAGACCAGCAAAAAGGACCTTAAATGGACAATTGGTATTAAAAATATTTTTTAGCTTAATAATAACTTTAAGTGGTTGATTCCTTATAACAAGATAACTATAAATTATAGTTATAAATTAATTGTATTTTTAAAATATAAAATAGATAAAAGTACTAAAATATATATTAACAAAACAAATTATATTTTATTAATATAAATTTTTGATTGCTGATGTTCAGTAACATTACAGGTATTCGACTTCTTCTTATTGAAAACCATAGATAGTATAGAAAATTATTATTATTATTTTATGCTTCAGTAAAGCAAAGTCATAAAATCATTTAAAATACCATAAAGTTATAAACTAAGTTGTATAGTTTTGTTTCTAAAATAATGTAAATACTGAATTACTATTTTTTTATCCAAATAATTGCAGTCACAGTGACATGCAGTGTAATGTTTACAGGATGCCATACTCGTGTCTATAAGTCTTGTGGTCAATTATTTTTTAAATGAACTACTTTCATCCTATTAATTATAGTAATAATAATTGTTATGGATGATTGATTAAACTGTTATATAGTTATTGGTAAGATTGGAGGTTCCGATTAGGGTTAGGGAACTTTGATTATAGGCCTGACCTAAATTAAATATAATCTAATAAACTGGAGTTTGCAGAAGTAGCCTATAGATTTTAGAAAGTTATTTTATCAAAATAATTTCTTTCACTACTAGTACCTCTGTAATTATTGAAATTAATAACATTTTGTTTATTCTGCTTTGATAAATTAGTACAAGTTTTGAAATAATTATAATAATAATTATCATAAATCTATAACATCTTTTAAAAAATGGAGGTACGGATATCAAAACTCTTGAATAATACAAATAGGTGTAATAGTTTCTCATCTTTCCGAGTTACAGACGATGAGCGAATACCTTAATAACTCGGATTTGGATGGATCATCAAGCTCCAATGTTGACACGGATGAGTACAATAATAATATATTCAGTGATGACAATAGTGATATTCAAGAACTAGAAGAGACTTACAAAAAAGAAGGTTATTGTACAGCTATCATCTCTCTAGTCTCACTATCATGCAACCGTCGTCTCCTAGTCTTGATGCCATGCAACATAATTTTAACATTGAATTTTTTGTAAACCAAAAAAAATTGTGAACCATAAAAAAAAAAAAAGTGAACCAATAAATAATAATTCAATAATCTTCTTTTATAATTAAAAAAGAAATAAGTAGTGGAAAAAGATTTAACATCAAATTTGAATACAACTATTTTCTTATAAAAGAAGATAAATGATTCAGGACATTTTTGATAGATGGAGGATAAAATTCTTTTATAAAATATATAATTACTTTTATTTCTTAAAATAAACAGATAAAATCTGCCATACTCTAAAACTCATATTTGGAACTTAAACAATACTTTATTTATGATAGCCAGTGCTATGAAATAATGCATAGCTTAAAGATCATTCTTGCACATACGTGCAAAAGCAAGAGATTACAAAACACTATAATAAAAGAATAACGCATTGCTTAGTAAATAGTGATTATAAATACCAAAAAAAAAATTAATAATAATAAAAAAAAAGGATGCTTTTTTTGATAATAAATATTCTAAAATAAGAAATTTGCTTTTAATATCTATACATTAAAAAAAAAAAAAAAAAAAAAAAAAAAAAAAAAAATCTTCGCTTCCAACAAGGCTGCAAGCAACCACTAATTAGTGTTGGAAGTTACTGGAAAAAAAAAGATGAAGATTGTAGAGCAAGATAACGATTGACAGACGACTTAAAAGATTGCAAATTATATGAGTCAGAAAAGCAAGATGAAAGAAGCAAATTCCAAAGAACTGATGTTCAAGGAAAAAAACTAGACGAAAAAGAGTTTTTGGAGCACTTAGGAACAGTAACAGAAAAAGGATGAGACTTTATTGAATGACGAGTAACACGAGAATGAATTTTTGTAGATGGCACAAGAGACGCTAGCTCTTTAGAGCAGTGCCCATTATAGTATTTGTAGAAAAGAGAAAGAGAAGCAACATTACGACGATGTGACAGAAGTTGAAGGTTGGCTGCAAGAGCAGGTCCTACTATGTTTACAATGCGTTTTTGCACCTTGTCTAAAAGAGAAAGGGCATCATTAGAAGATCCACCCCAGATATGGCAACAGTATTCCATACAAGGCCGGATTTGAGATTTATAGAGATAGAGAATAGAATCCAGAGTAAGAAAGTGTCAAGCTCGATAAAGAGAAGCAACTTTAGCAGATGCTAATTTTGCAACGGATTTGATATAAGGTTTCCAAGAAAGATCAGAAGCAAGAGTTAATCCTAGAAGATGAAGGGTAGGAGACTCATTGAGTACATTACCGTTCATATATATAGGAAGGTCTAAATTATTGTGATAACGATTGGCTGAAAAAAATTGAGTTTTTTCTGAATTAAAGTTCACCAGCCACTGTGAGCCCCATGCTGTAGCAGAAGTGAGATCCTTTTCAAGCTCAGATGTCTCCTGCAAGCAATCAGAGGGAGTTGGCTTCTTATCGTGACAAGAATAAATGGTAGTATCATCAGCGAACAATGCCACCTTAGATGTGAGAAAATCTGGAAATTCGTTAATGTAAATTAAAAAGAGTATAGGGCCAAGATTGAACCTTAAGGAACCCCTAAGGTTACAGAATAAGAAGAGTGCTGTCCATCAAGGACAACTTTTATACTACGATTGGAAAGGAAGAATTCGATAATCTTAAAGATGTTTCCAGATACACTGTAAGAAGAAAGCTTATGGAGAAGACCAGCATGGCAGCATGCCAAGACCAGCATTTGTTTTCAACATTTATTCAGATCTACACAGAACTGCTCAAGTTTTATTAAAGAACAACAGCATAAAACTCTTTGAAACTGAAAATAGGGTTCTCTCTAAGCTTCAAGAAACCTCTTCTTAAAAAAAGCATTTTTTTTTTGCAAATTATAGAGAGAATTATGTTCTACTGCCACTGATTGTATTGTCAAATTTTTTGTTAAAAAAAATGATACAAAATGGAACAGTATTCAAAAATTATGTTTAACTATGTCCTAGCAATGTCAGCTCATGTTAAGCGCATCTTTTTTCATAGTGATTTGATAATGCATTCTCATAGAGCTTGTATATCTGACTCATTACTTGAAACTTTGATGTTTCCTAAATGTAATAAAGACTCAGGCTACATAGTCTAATGTATATAATGTAATAAACATACATCTAATGCTTATGTACATTTAATATAGACATTTAATACAGCTATCCAACATATCTTTCAACTTTTTTTTTGTGATGTAAAGTTATTTTTAATTACATTTTTGTTTTTTGATTTTCATAAATATCTACTTCCAATATTAATTGACTTTTGGCTACATTAAAGTTTGCCCATAATCTTAGGTTCGTTTTGCAAAATGTAATTTGAATTTATTTGTGCAGCATGTGGCAGGCCTTGCGATAAAGCGTCGGACAATGTGAATTTTACGTCGTCTAAGAGCGATTTTGCGTGTAGCTAGGGCTATTTGCGTCGAGCAAAAATCGTGCTTATGCGTCGCGAAGTTTTTATTCATCACAAGGCCTGATGTGGTATTAGACTGCAGTCTTGTTAATCTTTAGCCTAGACCTTGCCTTAATCAAAAATAAAGTCTTTAGCTTTTGAATTGAAATTCTTGTATTTGTCCTTACTATATTTGGCCTTGTTAATAACTCTGCCTCAATACAAGATAGTTAAATGTCATGAACAGAAAAAGTACATACAAAAAATTTATTTTAAACTCATTGTGTATATAAGATTATTTAAATATTATCTAAATATGTTGTTTTTTTTGTTTCCAAATAATGTTTTAATATAAAAACAGATTGAAAACAAAACACAAAAAAACACACTATAAAATTAAATTGCACGATTTAAAAAAAAAAGAATTGTAACAATTAATTGTTGATATTCTTTGATTAAAAAATATAAAATAAAAACTCAAAAATTATTGAAAATAATGAAAAAATACAATAAATGTAAACCTTTATTAAAATTAGTATTGTTAATTGCAGAACTATGTTCAAAACAACTGTTAACTGGCATTATTACGTTATCACCAACATTTTTACTGATATCAGGCTTTGTACAACCAGGATTAACTATTAGTTTAGACCAGTTCCGAACACGACACAAGTTCACTGAATAAAAAACCAATTTACTTTTTATTTTTATTTTAACAAGTAAAAAAAATATAAAGAGCAAATAAAACTAACAAACTGAGTAGAAAAATAAGGTAGTTGGTAAAATGCGCACTGCGAACTGGTAAAATGCAAACTTTTTTGTGAACCATAGCTCTATTGGTTGTTAATGATGTAATATTTTTTATTTTCTGTTTACCGTTAAATTGTTTATTTTACTAAATATTTTATGGACTTCAAGCAGAAACATAAATCATATTTAAATTAAAAGAAATACAATCTAATTTAAATAAAATATATCAAATTACACTATATTTAATTTAAATCAAAAAATTGACGAACAAAATTTTTTTAAGTATCATAACCATAGTGGTCATTAATATATAATTATTTGGTTCGCAAAAAACTTAGCATTTTACTGACTACCCAAAAACAAAATCAAATAAACTTACTCAAATTCTTATGTATCTCTTTGTTAACTTCTTTGAGTTTTAACTTGTTTCCTGCTTTTGTTCTCTTAAGAATTTGATTGGAGTTCTGAATATAAAATAAAATTTATTTGTATGATTTTTTGATTGAGAAGTTCTAAATGTGATTTAAAAAAAAACTATATAAATAGATAATTTTATGGGTTGGGACATTTTTTTTCCTTCATTATCCTGTTTTTTTTTTCCTACTTTTTTCAAATAAAAAATGCATGGAAAAAAGTCAACAAATGTATACGCTATAGTGAGTATGTGTGTGTGTAACTAATAACTTTTTATGGTATGGTAGTTTTTGGAATTTTAAAGCTCTTACTTTCATTTCAAATAGAAATCTTCAAACAGAGTCTCTAATTTGATTCAAATTTAAAAAAATATTTAAAAACTTAAATAGTTTTTTAATTGAAACACTTTATATAAATATTTAGACAAAGACAAACTATTAAAAGTTGTTTAGGTTAATTGAAACATAACTACAAAAACCATTGCAAGGTTTGTGTTTTCTAATTCTAAGGTGTCTATACTTTGCTATTCATTAAAGAAATGACTGAAGTTCAACGAACTATTTTATAGCATACCTTAATATTTCTTTATAATAATTCTTCTTATTTGTTTCTTAATATTTGTTATAATTCAACCTTGTGCTTCTACTAAAAAGGTTTCTTATAAAAAGAAGAGCATGTAATTCTATTACATAAAAATAATAAAATTATGTTTTGTAGCTCTTATTGACTATTAACATTAACTAAGTTTGTAATACTTTACACTCTTTACAATGGATACTGCATTTACTTCTCCTCGCTCTTGACAGGAAAGAGCTAGCAGGTGGTGTGAAAAACTTGCAACCAAAATTTTGTATGTTAAAAAAAGAAGATTATTAATGAAATATTTAGTAATTCAACAAACCTTTATAAGATTAAATGACAATTCTTCATCGCCATTATGTACTTGGACTTTGCCAATTAATCCTACATCAAGCATTTCTTTACTTTTAAACATGCATGCAAAATGAATATCAAAATCGTGCCCACAAAAATCAACAAACTTTGTCAGACTTGATTCACCAGCTAGTTGGTCAGCATTAAACAATCCAGATTTTAATCTTAACACAATGTGAAATTTAAAATTGTAAATTATATAATATATAATAATATATATAAATAATATATAATAATATATACAAATAACATATAATAATATATATTTAACAACATAAAAAAAAAAAAAGTTTTAAAATTAAAAAAAAAATCAACAAAAAATAAATTACTGTATTCTAAGCTTTCCTGCTCGTATTTTTCTTGGTTTACAGGTTCCAACTTCATGCGGATATTGATTTGAGAAATGTGCACTCGGATCATTAAAGCGATAACAAACAACACAAATTCCAAACTGTTTTTTGTTTGTATATTCTGTCATTAATGCACGAAAATAAACCCAAAAGCTGAATCGTGGCAAATTAAAATTAGCATGCAGTTTAAATTGTTCTGGTAATGTACTATCAAGGATGTTCCAGAAAACAGAGAACAGTGTAAAATGACTTGTATAAAATGTCACTGTTTTATTATGAAAATCTATTACATAGTCTGTGTGTAATACTTTCCAATTAGGGATTGTGTTTACACCAGTTTGGCTATATAGAATAGTTAAAGTACAATTTTTGTTCCAGTGAAAAACTTCATTAGCTAAAAAAAAATTAAATTAAGAATGAGAAAAAAATGACCAATAATATCAAAATATCTAAAAGTTAATTATTTTACAAAGCGAAGCTCACATTTCAAATATTTTAAAATTAATAATACAGTGAGAATTTAAAATATATATCAGAAATTGCTAATTAGTTTTGTTTATCTTTATAGCATACGTTTTTAAAAACCAAACAAAAAAAAACAACAAAGAATTATGAAAGAAAAATAGCTGCCCCATCCCAAACCCTCAGAATATGTAGGAGCACTCCTTTGCAGCGATAACCTTGAAGCCCCTGGTAGCAGGCAGTATAGATAAGCATTGTGACAACACACTTTCAGTGTGACATCACAATGCTTATCTAAACACACATTTATTGTTGTGTGTGTGTGTATGTGTGTGTGCGTGTATATATGACCTCCAAAAAATGAAAATAGACAAAATACTACTGTAACAAATATACACAAAATTATTTAACAATCTTGTACTAATATTAAATTTATTCTTAATATTGAAATATGAAATTGAAGTACCTTTAGGTAATGGTAATATTACACAAACTTTTTTTTTAAAGCAAGACCCAACAGGACCAAGAGCAATGATCGGAGCTGCCAGTATCTTTAATTTACCAATATCATCAGGGACATAAAACTTGTCATAATACAAACACTCAACATTTACATTAATGCATGACGTAACTAACGCTTCCTCAGGAAACCTTACTCTTATTTCGGATGTTGAGTCTAATTGCAGAACAACAGAGCCTGAAGAAAAAAGCTTACAATTATTTAACTATAAATGTTTTGTTTTTTTTCCAAAAAAAATAAAAAAAAAGAACAAGATTTTGGTCAGGAAGACGTGAAACCCCGCATCTTTATATGATCACAAATTAACACTTAGTTTTAACAACCACATATTTTTACATATCAAAAAAATGCTGAATAAAAAAGATTATTAAAGTAAAAAGTTTGGTCATCCAAGATTTGAACATCTTAGATAACCAAACTTATCTTATAAAAATATCTTAGGCATAAATAAACATTTTTTTCCTCCTGAATAATACAGACAACATTATTTTATATTGTAATCACTAATATTGTAAAAATAAAATAATAAAAGTTAGCATTTTTTACCCAGCAAACATTCGGTCTAAAAAACACGCCTTTTAAGCGTATAAAATATATTTAATACATTTAAATGACGTATTAAAAATGTCTTTTTTAGACCAAATGTTTGCTAGGTATTTTATTACAAATGAGAATAGCTAGTTTGACAGAAATTTTAATTCCATCTCATAAGTTTGGTCACTGTCAGTAATCAACCAAAATTCTATTTCGGCTGAAATTTTAATTTGAACCAATACCGAAATTGAAATTTCGGTATAGGTTCAACTTGAAATTTTGGTTATAAAAATTACTTTTTATAAATTCAATAAAAAGCAAAATTTTGGTTGAAAAACGTACCAAAAATTTTTAAGATTTTAAATTTTTATCTAATTTAGAAAAACACTTATTTTTGAGAATTTTCACAAAATATTTTAAGAATTTTCACTAAAGTTTTGAGAATTTTCTTGAAATAATCTGCCAGTTGTTAACTTTGGCTATTAACTTATATTGCCAATTTATGTTTTAAATCTCAATTTGTGATATGCATGTAATCAATTCTAACGTAATACAAGTATAAAAAAACAACTAATATAAAAATGCATTTTTAAATAATATTTACTAATAAAATTAATTTTGACTGGCCAAAATGTCGGTATTGATTTCAGTAAAATATTTGTTGGTTTCGGTTTTGGCACCGACCTAGAGAACCTGAAATTTCTGCTTTTTTTTTCAGTTTCGGTCAATCAATAGCCACTGTATACAATTACAACAAGCACATTGCAACATTACAAATTTAACATCCCAATAACAAATCAGAATATTACAAATTTATCAGCCCTATAATACATCTTAATAAAATATCAAATATCACAAATTGAACAAAATATTATGAAAACTAGTTTTTTAAAGTTATTTTTTTTTAAGTTATAAAACAAAATTATTTAATTTAATTCAATTTTTTTAAAATAACAACTTTGATAAATAAAAATTTATTACAAAGCAAAAATCAAAAATTATTCTTAGCAAAAAAATTTACTTGGATGACTTACTAATATGATATACTAATTGTTGTTTTTATCAATTAATCCGCTAATTGTTGTTTTTATCATTTAGTGATGTGATACACATAATCCATAGGTGACCTAAGTTTTAGTTTAAATTAAAGTATCTATTTTAAAATTTTACTGATTTTGAAAAAAAGAGTGGTTGATATTTGAAAATGATTTTTTTTTTAAATACAGTTAACTTGGCGACACTTGGTTAATAATACTTGTACTAAATTTGATCATTTTATTCAACACTTTTCCTATTTTAGATTTAAATTATATGCATAATTTTCAAAAATCTTGTTTTGCAAACAAATTATTTCAGTAAATTTCAAATAAACATCATTTCTCTATGATTCTTATGCACAAAGTGTCAAAAAATATTATTGGAGAAAAAAAAGTTACATAGTTACAGAACTTAGGCATTTTTATGGTATGCGTTAAAAACAAATAACATCAAAACTAAAAAATTTTTATATTAGCAAAACACTTTTAAATTAGGGAACAAATTAATAATGATTTTTGTTTAAAAATATCAACGAAGTTGTATATATATATATATAAATTATAAGTATGCATTTTTTATAATAAACAGTGCTTTTTTAAAAATAAATTTATTTTGATTTTATAAATGAGAACTTTTTTAGACATCAATAGTGTTTCAATATACTTAAAAAAAATGAATTAAAAATATTAATTTTTCATTTTAATGATAAAAATTGTTATCAATTTTACAAACAACTACTTTAAATAAACAATTGTCTTTTTAATAAATTTTTTTATTAAAACGATTAATGTTTTAAATAAGATATGAACTGATTTTTAAATTAGATATGAATCAAATAATTATAAATTATTTTAAATTAGTTTTTGTATGCTTTTAAACACCTGTCTTAAATTTTATATAAATATCTGTGCAAGAGAGTTACAAGCTTTTAATTAACGATTACATTTAAATTATAAGAAAAAATTAAATAAGATTTAAAGTCACTATTCTTTTAAATTAAAAATATTTGATCACTACTTTTGTATTAGACTGTTGTGAATTGCATTTGTTTCATTTTTTAAAGTTAGATTGTAGTGTATGTTTTGTGATAAAAACAGTATTTGCAATTTTTAAAAAGTTTAAAGACAGAAGCATTTTTAGATACCACAATTTGCAATCACTTAATTTGTTCCAAGACACTTTTTAAAGTGGGGTATAGTGTTTAAAATTATCATTAACTTTTTATTAATATTACCTTCTGAACTTGAGTATATTATGTTGCTTGAAGAAGGTCTCTTTTTACTTACAACAACAGTATATATTGCTGGTTGAAATATAGAAAACTGAACTAGTGCATCTTTAACTTCAATGCTACTAACATTTAGTTGTTGCCAATTAGTCTGTTCAACCAAACTTGTATATGATACATAAACTTCAACAGTGCAATCTTGTTCAATATGAACATCTAAATCATAAACATAAGCAAGAAATATGAAAAAACTAGCAATAAATGTGCTATATATATATATATATATATATATATATATATATATATATATATATATATATATATAATATATATATATATATATATATATATATATATATATATATATATATATATATATATATATATATATATATACTCTTGCATGGTAGTTAAAAAGAGTTTCCCATAAACTGTAGTTTTAAAGAGCGCGTTAATAAACCAGACCAGAAAAAGTTTAAAAACTTAAATTTTTTTTTTTTTTAAATGATAGACTGCCTGCCCAAACCAAACCCTCAGTCGATGTAGCAACACTCCCTTGCGAGTCAGGCTATTTGTCAGTCGTTGTAGTAGCACTCCCTTGCGAGTCAGGCTATTTGTCAGTCGATGTAGCAGCACTCCCTTGTGAGTCAGGCTATTTGTCAGTCGATGTAGCAGCACTCCGTTGCGAGTCAGGCTATTTGTCAGTCAATGTAGCAGCACTCCGTTGCGAGTCAGGCTATAAGATAGTCGATGTAGCAACATTTACGCATGTTTTAAAAATGTTTTTTAATAAAATAAAAACAAAAACACTACAAATTAAAAAAAACTTTCTAGTTGTTATTACTGCGGTTTTTTAAAAAATGTTTAAAAAACAATAAAATTTAATGTACTTCCGCATTAATTTAATTGCTTTGACATTTCGACGACAATCAAATACAGCTTAAGAGACGAGGTAATTAAAATTGTAGTCGTAAGAGACTTTTTTTACTTTAAAACGTTCTTTCGACTACACTATAAGGATGGATATATATATATATATATATATATATATATATATTATATATATATATATATATATTAGGGGCTATTATAGGAAAATAATTTGGGCAGAGGTACCCTTGTGTTTAAGGAAATTCGCTGTAAGTAAGCATTTTTTTGCGAAAAAAATGACAAAAAAAAAAAAAAAAAAAAAGATACCTTTTTTTTTTAAATTTTTTTAAAAAAAGGTCCTCAATTTCTGATTTTGGACGGCGTCAAAATTGGCACTCAAATATGATTATCGGAAATGGAATAGCTCCTGTATACATATATATGTTTAGAGAACATTTTAAAATACAAAAGATATAACAAAAAAATTTTTTTGTTTTCAAGACGACTAAATGTTTTCAAGACGACTAAAAAATCTTAAATAAATGTCGTCTTGAAAACAAAAAATTTTTTTGTTTTCAAATTTTTTTAAAAAGACGACTAAAAAATCTGGTCAGTTTTTCGCAACCAAATATTATTTTCGTGGTCAGTATTTGAAAGCAATCGCTCCTGCTTCCCGACCAAGCCTGATATATATACATATATATATATATATATATATATATATATATATATATATATATATATATATATATATATATATATATATATATATATATATATATATATATATATATATATATTTCGAAGAAGAGCAACTAAATTGATACCAGAATTAAGACATTTGGGATATAATCTAAGACTAAAACTAGATGATTTAACAACTTTAGAAGTTCAAAGACTAAAATGTGACCTAATACAACAATATAAATTATATAAAGGTTTTGAATCTATTGGTATGAAAAAATTCCACATACAAATGCATTCAATCAATACACCAGGTCCAGCATCCAATATTAGAGATTATAAACATTGTGTTAAATCAGAGTTTGCTAAAAATTGCTCAAGTACACTTCTTTACAAACAGGGTTGACTTTGGGTGGAATAATTTACTGGAATCAATAGTGGAGTTTACATCAGTCTAAGAGTTTAAATCCAGACTTTAACTGATTGAGTTGCAGATAATATTGAACAAGAAAAACAGGTTGCAGTTAAATTTTTAGACATCTAATGTGTTGGCTGTCACAGATATTGGCTGGCACTCAACAGCATTTGAATTATTGAATTTAATTTTAAACCGCTTTAAAATCTTTTAAACTTTAACAAAAATTACTAAAAATATCTAAGTTCCTTATTTGAAATAGATAATTATAAAAAATGAATATTTCTTTATTATTTTTTTTTTTTTTAATTATTTTATACATAACATGATAATCTTTGTGCACCAGATAGAGATAAACAGTTAGAGATAAAAACAATAAAGTTCCAATTCATTAAATCTCTTGGATTTTTTTTTTATATAGCAGATCATAAGTCAACCAACATGTTTAGAGCTTCTGGACAATACAGACCTGGAAAAAATAGAGATATAAAGCCAGAGTCCTTTTGGGGTAAAATATATCAGGAGCTATTCTAGACCATTTCCGACAGCGTTGAACATAATTGGGCGCCGTCTGAATTTAAAATGAATAAAAAAATGAATAAAAAAATGAATAAAAAAAAGGTCCTCAAAATTTGAGGACCTTTTTTTTAACAGCAATTTTTTTTTTTGCAAAAAACTGCTGATTTTCCGCTAAGTTTTGCCAGAGCAGGAGGGGTACTGCCTCCCAAATTTTTTTCCTAGAATAGGCCCTGTATGTATGTATGTATATGTGTGTGTGTATATATATATATGTATATATATATATATATATATATATATATATATATATATATATATATATATATATATATATATATATATCAGGCCTTGTTTTAAATAAAAAAGTGCTTAATGCATTAGCTTAACGCAATTTTGACGTCATAAAATTATCTTTATTTTTTTTTATAGACGTTAAGTGTTTTAACTACCGCAATAAATAAATAACCGCAAACTAATTCAATTTAACAATTAACTCAAATATAAACTATAAACGTTTTAAATATAAATTTATTATGAAAATTTTGTAATGTTTTCAATTGTTATTTTATTATTAATTTTAGTTCAATATTATTTAGTAAAATATATATATATATATATATATATATATATATATATATATATATATATATATATATATATATTATTTCTGAAATTTGTTTTTGAATAATTGTTTTTAATCGTTATTGAATAAAAAATAATGATTTTTTTTATTTTTAAAAATTTCTAGAGTAAACAAAAAATATTAACATTGATAAACACAAACCCATGTTAATTATTTAAACAACGATTTTGTTTTGACTAGCAAAGAAAAATTTAAGTTTTTAAATATTTCTTAAATTTTTAAAAGCGTTTCAACTTGCGTTTTATAAAAATATAAAAAAGTTTTGTCTGCTTTGAAGCGTATTTTTGATACGTAGTTTAGAACGCGTTCGCTAGGAATTTAATTCATAAACTTTTTATGTTATTGTAAAAATATTTAACTTTTTAAACAAATCACAAAGAAACAGAGCTATAGAGAAAAATCGTTTTCAACGACGAAATCTTTTTTTTTTTTTTATTTTAGGAAATTAAAAAAATAAATAAATTAAATATAAAAGTCTTAATTATGCAAACTCTTTTATTAATTATTCTTAAAACAAAAAAACAAATACTTGTACGCTAAACTTTAATCGTGCAAACTTATAAAAATACTCAACTGAAATAATTTAAAATTTGAATCGTATCTGTTTATAATAAACGTTCGTAAAAATTTGTTTATTAAAAATTAAGTTCCTTAACTTATAAACAAACTCAAAAGTATTTTCATTCTACGTATAATTACAAAACTCTTTTTTTTTTTTCGTTTGTAAGCAATTTAACTTAATAAAATAAAAAAAAGAATAAATATGAGATAATCTTTGTTAAGAATAAATTTAATTTATTTATTGAACTATATTTTTATTTTTAATTATATATCAACTTAATTAAAATATAGTAACATGTTAAAATATTTTAACATGACTTGTATTATTTATAAACCGTTGGGCAGTTGCCCTTACGGCACTATTGTTTTTGGATAATATTTTATTTTGATGAAGATCACATAACTTACATTTGATTTTAATAAGGTAAGTCTTCTCTTTTTCTGTGATCACCGCATCAGCAAAGTCCCAAGATTTAAAAGTTTTTAAAGTAAATCTTTTGTCCTTCAAAATACAATCCATATTCGAACTTTAAATAATTTAGAGATAATAGAAATATACAAGGTTTTTATATACTAGTTTGTTTTGTTTTATAAAGAAAAATATTCATTAGTAAAAAATGGAGACTGTCATTAAACTAAAACGTACCTTAGTATTTATTTAACGGAACCTGTAATGTGCGCGTGCATAATAAAACCTCCGTTATATAAATATATTCAAAGTAATTTTAGTGTCATCAGCGGATGTTGTAGTCTACTCATGATTTCTTTACCTTATATTATAACTTGATTTATGACAAAAAAAACTTATTGAATCGCACGCAGAAGAATTTTAACAAATTGTCTTCATTCAAATATTGCGAGTAACAGGTAATTTTTTTTTCTGTGCCGACCCCCTCCCCCCGCATAACTTAAACTATATACTAATAAACTAATAAGAAAAGCTATATACTATTAAACTAACTATAAGCTATATACTATTAAACTAATAAGAAAAGCAAAGACATTTTTTTTAACATCTCGAAAAAATGTCTTGATATTTTTGTTATCATGATAACAAAAATATTAAGACATTTTTTGAGATTTTATTTAAAAAAAATGTCAATTCTTAATTACAAATTTTTTTGCAAATGTTTTTTATTATAAATTCAGTAAAAAATTTATAAAAAAATCTATATTACAAAAAACTTTTATATTCTGTATTAATAAATATGGAATATAGATTTTTTAAAAGTTTTTTACTAAAAACTTTACTACTTTTTATTAAAAACATTGCAAAAAATTTGTAGTTAAGGATTGACAAACAATTTTTCATGTTGCTAAATATTTGGATAAAAAGTTTAGCGTCAAATTAATTGCTATAAAAAGGAAAGATATATCGCGATGAAAAGTTACAACAATTAATTTTAAAGTAAATTCTTTTTTTTAATAAATACCTTTACATATCGTTATTTAAAAGTTAATGTGGTTTTTTTGAAAATTAATTACTTCTTTTATGTTACCGCTAATTTAAAAGTTAAAAAATGATAAAAAGTAGCTTAACCAAAACAGCTCTACGCGTACGTAAAAAGCGCTTAAGGCGTACGTAAATCGCTCTAGGGGTAACGCTTAAAAACAAGGCCTGATATATATATATATATATATATATATATATATATACTGTCTTTAATACTCTTTAGCTGAATGTTAATTTTTTTTTTTAAAAACCTTTAAAATTTAAACTCGGTAAATAAATTGCACACTTATATGATCAATGATACATAATGCTTGTGCTTGAAATTTGTAGTGAAAACCAAGAAGTTAATGTGAAGTTAATGCATAGAAAAAAATTAAGTTATTAAAAATTAAATGGATTAATGATGCAAAATCAACTCTGCATTGGTAATGTCAAGTAAATGCTCCATTCATTAATGGTGGAAGTGCTTGTAACTAATATCTTGTTAATAATGATTATAACAGTATTAAGAGTTAAAAAATTAGATTATATATATATATATATATATATATATATATATATATATATATATATATATATATATATATATATTATATATACATATAAATATTTATATATACATATATACATACATATATATATATATATATATATATATATATAAATATATATATATATTTATATATACATATATATATACATATATATATATATATATATATATATATATATATATATATATATATATATATATATATATATATATATATAATATATATATATATATATATATATATATATATATAATATATATATATATATCTCAATTCAACAGCTGCGCATTAGACATTGTCTGGCGAGATTATTCTCTAATTCTTTACTGATTAGAGATTGTTAAAATGACAGATTGTTCAGTAGATTTACAAAGTAATCAGACATTTTGACTCACAGGAATTAAATTCTACAAAATAAAGCTTGGACAAGAATAGCGTGCGATCGATCGAACGCTATTCCTGACCAAGACTGTTTAGATGTTTTGAGGATTTAAACATTTCAGAAATGCGCTGAAAAAAGAAATGTTAAACTAAATTTTAACTAGGAAAAAACTAAAGAATAAGCAAAACAATTCCTTACGAAAAAGAAAATAAATTATCTTTAAAATAAAACTAAAAAAACTAGAAGTAAAAATTACTTTTTGTTACGCTTTTGATTGCATTTGAAAAAATTACTTTAAAACTCATCTTTTAAAACATTTTATTAAAGTTAGGCGAAACGCTTTTACAAATTAGATTGCATTTATTAGAACAAATACATGATCTAAAGGAATTAAAAAAGAAAATAAATTACTTCTACTGATTGTTTAATAAATGAACAAATTTTATTAAAATCATTGAAGAGTGAAATTAAATTATTGAAAAGAAAAAAAAAAACATTTTTAAGTTAATTTTTTTCAAAATGTTGAAAAAAAAAAAAAAAAAAACGTAGTCTTTTTAAAATCGTAATTTTTAATCATTTCATGTTTTAATTAACGCTGAGTTAAAAATAAAAATTTTTTTAATTTAAAATTTTTTAATTTTTTATAAAAATAGAAACAAAAAAATAAAATAAAAAATAAAGCAATTAAATTCTGGGAAGATTTAATTTAACTTAATCATAAATTAAAGTAACTTAAAAAAATAATTTTTTGAAAGATTTTTAGAAAGATATTGAAACTTAAACTTATCATAAAAAATACATATCTACTAAAAAAAAATTTTAATATAACATTTAATTTACACATATGTTTATTTTAAACAATCATTGTAATTAATTTTTGATTTCATTTAAAGCCTTCACATAAAATAAAAACTTTTAAAAAGATTAATAACTAAAAGTTATTCGTAATGTAAAGATTTTTTTTATTGCATTAAAATTGTCAGAACATCAAAACAGCTGTTGTCAAAAAAGTGTTGTCAATTACATGTGAAAATCAAGTCTATCTAAAAAACATACAACAATAAATTGAAACAATTTTATTAAAAAACAAAAGTCTGCGATGAAATATTCTAAATGAAAAGACAAGAAACTACAACTTCACTAGACAAACATTAAATTAACTGAATATCATGAAAAAGATTTCTATTGCATAACTCGGTTCCATAAAACCGTAAAAATTATATTTTAAAAGTTTGATTAGACACTGTCTGACCCAAACAAGTTTTGATCTGACATTTTGTCCAGGACTTTATAAAAAATTAAATTATGCCCTGTATATATAAGTTATCTCTATATTTATTATATATCTTTGTAACTGATTTTAAATCCTATCGCTAATTATATATGCATCTGCATCTATAAACGGTACAAGACGAAATGAGACGATAAAAATATTACTTTGATAAAACCAGTACGAAACAAAACAATTTTTGAACAATTTCACAAAAAAAGGTACAAAACGAAACAAATTTTTTTTGTTTCGTGAAAAATACAACACAAATCGAAACAATAATTTTTGTTTTTTAAAAACCAGTACGAAACGAAATAAGATTATACTAAATAAAGTACGTAAGCTTTACTTGTTTCATAAAAATACGATACAAAAATGGCACGAAACGAAAACTATCGTTTTCTACCGTGACAAGCCGAACTTCCAAAAGAATATGAGAAGACGCAGATGTCTATATATATATATATATATATATATATATATATATATATATATATATATATATATATATATATATATATATATATATATATATATATATATATATATATATATTTAGCCATAGGATTTAAAATCAGTTACAAATATAGATATATAATAAATATAGAGATAACTTATGCAGCAAACACATATATAAATACAACATTGGTAAATAATATTTTACTAATTTATAATAATATTTTAATAATTTATTTATAAGAATAAGAGTTAAATTTATACTCACATAAAGGGATTGAGATAACTGCATGAAACTGTGATCGAGATAACTCATGAAACTGAGCGGTTTTTTTAATAACCCAAACAAGTGCACTAGCTTGAATAGACCAGCTATCAAGTATTGGGGATAAAGAAGCATCCGCAAAACACAAAATTTTAAATCTGGAATTATCTGTTGGTATATTTAATGTAGGAGTCATTACATTAACACAATCCAAACTAATTTTACAGTCTTGAAAATGTTTTATTTTTGGAGTTCGAAAGATAACAGTCTGATTTTGTTTTAAAATAATTTTCTGAACAACTTTTACTATTGAGCATAATATGCATAATGATTGTGCCAAAATCTTAAAAAAACTCAAATAAACTTTGATGTTTGGTGAAGTGTCAGTATGGTCACAAGTAGCATTTTTTATGCAATAATTCAAATAAGAACACAAAGTATGCACCTCTTTTTGTTTGACAATTGTTTTGATGTTGCAGTCCATTGCATAGAAATTACTTTTTCATCTAAAAGAGAAGTTATATGATTTACAAGGTTTAACCATAATGACTATGGCAAACTTAGCTGACAACCATACCCATAGATAACACTACACCTCTTTTCAGAAATGCACCTGAGAAACTATTGGGGTACTGGTAAGGTAAGAGGAGGTAAAGAGTTGTAATTCATTTTTATAGTAGATTTTTGCTTTTTGTATCATATTTTATGCATAAACTCAAATTCAACTTTAAATATTTCCCAATTACTAATTTTTAAAACACGCTGTAATTCTTTGTAATGACACTTAAAAAATTGAATAAAAAATTCAAAGAATATAATATACCTTATAATTATATGAAAAGATTTATATACAATTATAATTATAAATAAAACACTATAAATAGCTTTGCCTTATTATTATAAATATCTTTAAAAAATCATGGATTTAAAGCTGAATAATAGTTGACTAAAAAACTACTTTTAATTCTTTTTTTTAATTAACAACCAAAAGAAAAAATACTATTTTGACAGCCAAACCACAACTTTTAAGTCTTTTAAATTTTAATATCAATATAAACAAAAAAAACCTTAAAATTATACTTTTTTTTAAAGATTACATTTTTTTTGACAAAAATTACAAACGAAATTACAAAAAAGAAACAAACATAAAATTTAACATTATTTCAATAATTGTATTGCTTTCCTTTTATAAATATTATTTTTGAATACTATGTCAAAAAACTGATATTGAAAATATATTTTCTGGATTAATTTTGGCACCCAACATCAAAAAATCTCACTATCAGAACATTAAATATCAGTAATAAAATTTAAAGTAAATTTAATTTAAATACTAGATCTTGGAAATTAGTTACACAGTCATTAACTATCATATCATAACATTACACAGTCATTAACTATCATATCATAATTAGTTACACAGTCATTAACTATCATTAAGTAACAATACTAGAATAGTGTCAAAAATGTACTAACATAAAACAATGCGTTAGGTATAGACTAAAAATATATCATATAAATATAATATATTGATTGCTGTGTATCTTGCCTCATTCTCAAGATTCATAAAAATTCAAAAATCTTGCCTATATTGAGATCTAAATTAAAAAACCTCAATATTTTTATGAATCTTTACCTACCTGATTGCAAGCAGTTCTTTGAAAAGTTGCACAAGAAAGTGTCAATACAACATCTAACAGGTTTGAATAGGACAAAGGTTTAATTTGTTAGCTGTTTTATATACTTTGTTTAAATAACATTTTTGATGCTATTTTTGTACTAAAATTTTCAATGTTATAATATATATATATATATATATATATATATATATATATATATATATATATATATATATACATACATACATACATACATATATATATATATATATATATATATATATATATATATATATATATATATATATATATATATAATGGCATTTTTTTTAAGAACTACTTGTTACTAATATATCAAAACTATTAGACTGTCTTATCGTCAGACTATAATATATTAGGTTTAAAGTATGAAAACTTTTTAAATCAAATAAAAACGTGTGCACATTGTTTAACGTGTAAAGCTAATAGCCACACTATAATTTATTTGCAAAGTTTATAGACTATTTAACTTTTCAATTGGAATAGATTTTAGTTATCCAAGCTAATATCTAAGCATAGTTTTTCAAGCCATTCTGAACAACTTAGTTTTCTGAGAGTTAGAGTCTATTTTATAACCTTTTCTCAGTGAAAGTTAGTTTTTTGTTTTTTTTTAAACCAAATTGTTACAACAGACTTTATAAGTTATTTAACAAAAACTTCTAAGATTTCTGTATTTTTATTCACATATGTAAATGTTTTGGAATATTACAAGAATTTTGTAAGCCTATTTGATTCTGATGCTTTTAAATATAACAATAATATCTGAGATTAATCAAGATATATACGCATGTCTCATTCAAAATTGGATTAGTGTAGCAAATACTCAGACTTGTTAGTTGTATTTCCATAGTGCAGTACAATGATTCAGCTATTACAAGATCAGCTAAAAAACTAAAATGAGCTTATCTTGAACTTCTTAAGCTAGATGTTACCTTAAATACCTGAGATGATAATTCACTCGATGGAGAAATCTCTGCTAATTCATTGATATAGATAACAAACAAGCTTAATAGCGCCAAACCTTGTGGAATGTCACTTAAAACATCAGACCAATCCTAACATATAACAGCAATTTGAATTCTTGGTTTTCTCTAATTTAACTAAATTTTTATTTAACTAAAGGTTAACCTTCTTAGACATCGAGAGATTCATGTTTGATCGGAAGCCTTTTGTGTTGTACAGAACTGAAAGCTTTGGCAAAGTTCAAGCAAAAACGATAAATAATTTTGAGATAAAATTGAGTGTTTTTCGGAGACTAGTGGTAGTTTTTGGTTTAAGAAGCCATACTCATTGCTCGAAGTTAAGAAATATTAAATAGAAATGTATAAAAATTTTGATATTTCCATAACTTTACAGATAACGTAAGTGATATTTTACAAAAAAATTCTAGATGAACTAGGAGAAAATTAATTCTTTGCGAATCTTATAAAATGAAAATCGTGTAGGTAAAATTAAACATACACAATCTATTGCTTTTCAAAGTTTCCTAAAAAATCAAAGTCACAAGACTACATTCATTAGTGCGTGCTCCGTACGAGAATTCTTTAGTAAATTTAGTCAAAGAACTTAGCTGGGGTTGGTGTGCCTATTAGAAAATTGTTTTGTTGAATATATATCTGCCCAAAATAAAAAACCGGAGGTAATTCAACATAAAAGCAATTGCTAATAATGTAAAATTATAGTTTGATATAAAATAACTTTATATAGCAATAAGATATTAAAATTTTTAAACTTAAAACATATTTATTGATAAAAAAAACTAATATGCTTTAGTTTCTAAGCAGTTTGTTAGTTTTGTGTTGAACAACCTTTCATTAATATATATCACGCGTTCTGTTGGTTGAATTATTCAAAATTCATCCAAGCAACTCAGCGATATGCGGATAATTTTAAATGGCGACAAAAAATTTTTTTGCTGTTTTAGAATATATACAACTTTTATTTTTACTCTACCTGAAAATTTGCCAGATAAAATTGGGATAAAAAATATAAAAATAACAGTAATGCAATAAATATCATATAAGACTACTATTACTAGTTTTCAATCACAGACACTAGCCCCTCGCAAATTTCATTCTTACTGACCAAATTTGTTAATTTTTGTTTGCAGCCACTCAAAATCTTATTTTGTTATATATTCAATCATAGTTTCTTTGTGTAGTTCTATAAGCATCGCGCAGTGGTTGCACATTCCATTGAAATAAATGGCGAAAAAATAATTGTTGTATTTATCTGGATAAACCTTGTATAAACTTATCCACAGACTTTAACTTTCGTAGAATAATTTTTTATTGTTTAAAAGTTATTAACATAGTAAAAAAAAATTATTTTTTATTTGAGGTGAGGGTAACTTTTTTGGTACTCTTGTTTCCAGACTCCATTGATCGGAGTCTAATTACTGCAATTTTTTTATTTTTTATCTAATTTTTTATATACAGCATTGTGAAAAATTTAAGAACCACCAAAAAGCAAATCATAATCTATTTTTATTTTTAAATTTTTATTTAGTCAAATATATTTTTCTGGTAAAAAAAATAATAATAATAATAAATTTTAGAAAATAGACAAACAAAATAAAAATAATAGTTTTTTTTTATTTTATTTTTTTTTTTTTTCGTTTCATTTTTGTCGTTGTTTACAAAGATAAACAGACAAGGCTTCTGAAAGAAGATCATAATGATCTTATCATCAGAACCTTTTACAATTTTTTAAAAATCAATACATTAACAAGACTAAAAAATTACAATAAATCGTGATATAAATTGGAAATATAAATCAAACCACTAATGTTATATATAATAAAAAGTCTGATCATATCATCAGATCTTATAAAAACGTAAATATATAAATACATATATATACATAGTAAATACATCTCTTTTTTTACAAGTAATACATCTCTTTTTTTAAAAGGCAAGAGAAAATACAACAGTCTTACAATTAAAAAGACAAATACGTGATTGTTATAAAAAGTATTTAAATATATCATCAATAGATAAAACAAAATTTTTAAGTTTACTTTTAAAGATCGGAAATGTATTGGATATATCAAAATTAGGTATAACAATTTTATTCCAAAGATAGGGTGCTCGAAATGTAATGCAAAATTTGTTAAATTTTGTTCTGCAAATAGGTTCATGTTCAAAATTTTTATTTCTAAGTAAATATTTATTAATTGGGTTTAGAGAAAAAAGGTTTTTAAAGACAGGTAAAGTTAAATCGTTTTTCCACATGTAAATAAAGCATAAAATGTTATAAACATTGAGCTCGTAAATATTGATTATTTTCATCTCCATAAATAATGGTTTGGAATGAGTAAAACGATCCGCAAAATTAATCAATCGGATCGCATGCTTCTGACGGCGAAAAAGGAATTTTAGCTTACTTTTTTCGGTGCTTCCCCACGCAATGTTGGCATAACACTGTACAACAATTTTTAACTTTTTGAAAAAAACAAGAACCAAATTAGGTTATCTTTATTAATTCAGACGTGCTGATTCCAAATATGTAATCAGTTATGCTGTAGCACGTCACAATTTTTTGAAATAACGATTTAAAGATGTAACGTAAGATGCATTTTTCTATACATAGGAATAAGTGTATGAACATGTCTATTATCACTTGTAACACAAATTGTTTACTTGTATTTAATTGTATTTAGCCTGGCGTTTGAATGCTGCATCGGGTTCATCGCGGTGCAAATTCCAGCAGCAATCTGCAAGCATGGCGGGGCTCCACTTTCCCTTGTATCTGTTTTCCATTGTGGCAATACTCTGATGAAAGCGCTCGCCATTTTCATCATATACATCTTCATTGACAGAGAAGAAGGAAAGATGGGAATGAAGAAAGTGGAGCTTCAGCGACATGTTACAACCCAGTTGTTGATAGGATGCAATTAATCTGTCTACCAAATCAGCGTAATATGGTGCAATATGTTTTATGGTGCAATATGGCATTCAAACGGGTGTGCCAAGAAATCCCTGGCACACCCGTTTGAATGCCATGCTGCAAGTTCATATTGATCCATCGTTACCAAAAACGTTTCATCCAGCATCAGTTCTCGTATTTGGGGCCCCACCAAAATGCCCTCTTTAATTTTGGCGTCACTGATTTTAGGAAATTTGGTCTGCAAATACTGAAATGCTGGTTTGTCGTGATCTAACGCCATTACAAACTGTTTGAAGATTCCAAGCTTGATGTGAAGATTGGGCAAGACGATCTTCTCTTTATCCACAAGAGGTTCATGAATGACGTTATGGGAACCAACCTCAAATGTTTCTCGTTGTGGCCAACATTTCCTCATATAATATTCTAATCTCATCCTGCTATCCCATTTGCAGAGGAAACAAATGTACTTAGTAAAACCAGCCTGCAATCCATTTAGTATAGCAACAACTTTCAAATCTGCTCATATGGACCATCTGTGATCTCTGTATTTAATTCTGTCCAGAATAAGTGATATATTCACATAGCTTTCCTTCAGGGTTACCGAATGTGCTATGGGAATAGAAGGCAGCACATTTCCAGTATGCAGTAATACTGCCTTAATACTATAACGTGATGCGTCAATAAACAAATTCCACTTGGATTTTTTGATGATCTAGGAATCGTATTGTATTCCTAGATCATCAAACAATCCACTGATGTCATTACAGAAGCAAAGTTCTTTATCCATAAAGAAGTATTGCTGCAGTTCCCGTGATCGCTTTCTAAATGACGACACTCTTGCATCACCAGCCAACAGATGCCACTCCTGGAGACGTGAAGCCAGCAATTCACTCTGTTGCTTTATTAAATACAAATCTCGAACGAGATCTTTCAGGTCAGATCCTGTTATGAAGTGGGGTTTACGCTCTGTATCTTCTGGCAACTCGTAACTATCATTGTCATCAGTATCCTCGTCTGAATCAGAACTTTCCGTGTTTGGGATTTCCGATGGAGGGTCAGGAACAGTGAGTTCAGCCGAATGAGGAACAGGACGAATAGCTGAAGGTAGATTTGGGTACACTATAGCTTTCTTACCCTTAGAATTGCGACCTGATATGTTAACAGAACAGAAATAGCAATCTGAACAATGATTTTGGGGTTCACGCCACACCATTGGCACCCCAAATGTTGGTCCTCCACATTAAAAA